AGGGACCTGAGGGGGCAGTGCCACCCATGCTCTGTGATGCTCGGGATCCCCTGGGGCCCCATAGCAGTGCTCAGGGACCTCCAATGCTATTCCCAGTAATGTTCAGGGAACCATGTGCTACTGGGGACCAAACCAAGTCAGCTGCATGCAAGACACGTTCCTTAATCCCTGCACCATCTCTACAGCCCCTTTTTGTTACAGTGGTTTTTGGGTTAAGTAGAGGATAGATGTTGGTAGAAATAAGTTAAAATAATGGATTTCAAAGAATGAAACAAGCCACTCTTTGAAAAACTGTGCCTATCTTGCTTACCACTGTCACTGTCCTCCTGTTGTTCATCTATTTGCTCGAGCGGGCCCAGTTACATCTCCATTTTGAGACTTGTTGTTACTGTGTTTGGCATATCGAATACGTCATGGGTAGCTTGCCAGGCTTTGCCGTGTGGGCGGGATACTCTCGGTAGCTTGCTGGGCTCTCCGAGAGGGGCAGAGGAATCGAACCCGGCTTGGCCCTGCTGGCTGCGTGCAAGGCAAACGCCCTACCACTGTGCTATGGCTCCAGCCTGCTATGGCTCCAGCCCAAAAATTAATCCCAAAAATTAATTCCAAAAATTATTGGAGTCTTCTTAGACAACTTAAATCAGAAATTATTTCTGTAACATGATCTTTTATCTGTTTTTTGAGGAGAGTGGGGTGGATCACACTCAGCAGTGCTCAGGGGTACTTCACCTCTGTTCCTGGGGTCACTATGGGCTGCTTGGGGAATCATGTTGTAATAGGGATCCTACCTGGAGTTCCATGTGCAAAGCCTGTGTATAGCCTGTAGAGCTCAGAGGTGACTTTTTTTTTTCTTTTTGGGTCACACCCGGCGATGCACAGGGGTTACTCCTGGCTCTACGCTCAGGAATTCCCCCTGGCGGTGCTCAGGGGACCATATGGGATGCTGAAAATTGAACCCGGTCGGCCGCGTGCAAGGCAAACACCCTACCTGCTGTGCTATTGCTCCAGCCCCAGAGGTGACTTTTTGTTTGTTTGTTTATTTATTTATTTATTTATTATCTTTGAGCTTGTGGGACACACCCAGAGGTGTTCAGGGGCTCCTGCCGATTCTCTGCTCTTGGGTTGCTCCTGGTAGTGCTTCAGGGACCACGTGATGCTGGGGATCAAATGCAGGCCTCCCCCACACAAAGCCTGTGCATAGCTGTCGCACTCTGCCAGCCCTGCCACGTGGGGGCTTCTTCTCTGGCATGAATATCCAGCTTTGGGGGCCCACAGAGGTGCGAGCAGGCATCCTGGACTTGCAGCTGGTGGCACAGCAGGCACGTGGGGCTGACCCTGTTCTCTGGTATAGACAAATGAAGATGACAAGCCTGTGTTCACGTCATGTGAAGAGTGATCTGCACTGTGTGAGCAGAATCAGCACAGGGCAGAGTGCTCGGAGCTACCTTTGCAGCTGTCTTGACCCCAGCGCCACTGTCGACTTGTCTTCTTAGATGCCAGGGCTGTTGATTTTACCTCCTTTGGTTTTCTTGGAGCATTTTTATAAGTCAGTTGTTGAACATCTACCTTGGCTGGCTTCTGAGATGTTTGAGACATTATGGATTTTGAAGCTGATCTGAACATTTTTTTACCACGTTGACTCATTGAGACATTGCATCTCCCAGAGCTGAAGGCACGTGGTGTCTGCTTTAACATTTGTCTTTTGCCGGGTTAAAGCTAGTTCTATCTTTCATGAAATTCTTATGACTGATGTGATGGGCCTTGAGTCACATCACATTTGTGCGTATTCTGTCAACAGTTAAAAAAAAATCAGTTTAGGGCCTACAGAGAACTCAAGTGGTGAAGACACTTGCCTGGCGTGTATGAGTGCCTGAACTGTGTCCCTGGTGGTGACCCTGCTGACCCCTGACATTGCCAGGATAGGCTCAGGCAGCCCCAGCATCTCGGTGTGGCACCTAAAAATCCCTTGTAATATCATGAAGAATTAAGTCATCGAGCTGGCCTTTTTAAAATTGTGCAAGAGGAATTTGTTGGAATTCAGTACTGTACATTAATAAAATTAAGTTCATTTGGTTGTATCACTAAAGAACATGTTTTCTTAAATGGAAAACTTGCAGCCAAAGTGTCCATGTTGGGAGTGCTAGGTTACTTAAGTTGGATAAAGATCCATTTGTTATCAATTCATATCCTAACAGAGCAAAACATTCTTTAGTAGTGTGGTCACTCACTAAAATGAAATGAAATGCAGCCCTCCCACCTCTCTCCAGAGAAGGAATGTCAGCCCTGCACTGAGGCAGGGATCTGTCCTGCTGTGACCATGGCGACGGCTTCACTCACAAAGGGACCGGCCTCCCCAAACATCAGGCCCTGGCACAAACATTGACTTTCTTCAAGGCAATAATATTAGAGCAAATGCCTTGTCTTTGCCAAACACAAGATTCATTGTGAGAAACTTCCAGCTTCCTTAGTGTGATACGTTTGCTTCATTACCCAGATTCTTGGGTTTGATTTTTCCCTTCTGAGCTCATTGAAGGTGGTGGCAGGGTACCCCCTGGCTTTCCCAGGCGGCTCTTGCTCCTCTTTCCCGCCATGCTCCTCACCTTGCTGCGTGGGGAGGAGGGAGGTGGGTTCACTGTGTTGCACAGCGCCAGGTCATCTCTTGGCCAAGCATTGTCTCTGCTTCTGCTCTACTGCCTGTGCTCAGGAGTCCTGGCACCTTCTTTGGTAGGTGTGATTATTGCACACAGCCCTGCATGGGGACTATTCCCGGCAACCTTCACCTGAGCGAGAGAGCAAGTAAGTGAGTGAATGAGCAGAGTCCTGCTTATCTGCTGAGGGCTCTGCCCTCCCAGCGCTGCCCCTTCCCACAGAAGACCCACTGTGAGCACTGTGATGAAGTCCCCTGGACACAGCTCTCAGGTGTTGAGTGACCAGAGAGTAGTCTTGCTACTGTGGCCTTCCATGGACTTTATGGAACTCTTGTTGGCACAAACGTATTGGTTGATAAATGTTGGCGATGTCTTTCTCAGTGAATCCCTCCTACCTTTCCTGTCCTCCTGCTCAGCCTCCATCCACCTGCTGTTCTCTCACCAGAAACTCTCTGCCTCTGCCTCCTTTACTCAGCAAATGGGCTGTTTGGTGGGAGCTGGCCATGCTCATTATGCTGAGCTCAGGTTGAGATGCTTCTCTCCACCCTTCTCATCATTTCCTCCAGCACGTAGAGACCCTCACATGTCTGCACCCTGGTTCCTTCTACACTTGATGAGCTTCAGAGTGCTTTTCTCTGCTCCACCTCTGGCGAATAATTAGAGGTTACATCGTCTAGATTTCCAACTTGCAGAGGTCTCTGAAAACAGATTTGTTAAGCCTTCTGGATTGCTGGAGCGATAGCACAGCGGTAGGGCGCTCGCCTTACAAGCGGCCAACATGGCCGACCCGAGTTCGATTCCTCCGCCCCTCTCGGAGAGCCCGGCAAGCTACCGAGAGTATTCGATATGCCAGACACAGTAACAACAAAGTCTCCAATGGAGACGTTACTGGGCCCGCTCGAGCAAATCGACGATCAACGGGAGGGCCTTTACCTTTACCTTAAGTCTTCTGGTAAAACATGTCTGTTTATTGGCTGTTTACTGACTTGCTAGACAGCTCAGTTAATTTCCTTGTTTTGTTTCATTTTGAGTTTTGGGTCACACCTGACTTAATCGTGGTTCAGCACTCAATGACCACTCCTGGCAGGACTCAGGAGACCATATAGAGTGCTAGGAATTGAATTCAGGTCAGCCACATGCAATGCAAGAGCCCTAGATGCTGTACTATCTTTCCAGCCCTGGTTCAGTTTAATACAGTCAGTGGATGCAACTCATATGTTCCAACCTCAGTACTAATTAAACCCTGGCCTGGGAACATATCTATTCCCCAAACTAACACATCTCTCTATATCTCTGTCTCACAGCCAGTGGTGCTCAGGAGTTGCTGTTTCTGTTTTTCTGTTTCTCTGTTTCTTATGTCTATATCTGTTGTATAACCTATGCCTGATGGAGAGGTGGCCTCATTGGCCCAGCAGTTCCTGTGCCCTCCTTTTGGCCAGCTCAGTGCAGCCTCTGGCCTGCTGTAGCTGGCAGCCTCATACCCCATGTTCATTCCTACACAGAGGTCACCCTCCGGCCCTGTGCAGCCTCGATTTTGTGAACTGCCCAGTTGCTTATGTTCCAGGTCCAGTTTCAACCTCTGTGATGTGTCCACTATGGCTTGTGTGATAGTCACACACTTGAGTGTGCAGTTGGGGGTCTGCACTGGGCAGTGGGACTGCAGACTGGGTCCTGGGCCTGTTCACATGTAGGCTTGTCAGTGACCTGGACTATCATTGACTCATGTTCAAGTCACCCATGGAGGTGTGTGCTTTAGGGACCTGGAGGGCAATCACCCCAGTGCCACACCTATCAGAAAAATTCCTGGTGTGTCTCTCCAGAACCACCTGGAACGTTTTCATTAGGTTAAAAAAAAAAAAATCTCAGGTACTGAGAAATGTCCCACTGGGTTGAGTGCATGTTTGCTAGCAGAAGGCCAGGTTCCATCCATGGAACCGTCCACTAAGCACTGCCAGTGGGACCCCCACGCCTAGAAAAAGGTACTCCTGAGTACCACTGGCTATGTGCCACAGAAACACATAGCAAGGTATAAGTCTGGGGAATAGACATTCTCAGGCCAGGGATTAGTTAGAGTTGCAGCAGAAACATTTGAGTTCTATCTGCTGAGCTTGGTGTCTACTATACTGTGTGATAACTAAGGGTGTCTTACTGTGAATTGAGGCTCTCCATGCACCTCACTGTGACCGCTGCAAATTTTACTGAGCACAGACCTTCCCCTTACACTCACTCTTTACCATCAAAGTGACTGACAGTGCAGAATTCTCCTATTTTTCTTATATGTGCTACCAAGTTTATCGACCAGAATGCTATGCAGAGTTGGATACATAAGAGTGTTCTTTTCTATTTTTCATACAGTTGGATATTCAAAAAATCAAGCAATAGCACAGAGCTCAGGATCTTTTCTCTGCTTTTTGGATTCGGTGAGTGCCTCTTTGGTTTGTTTAATATGCATGTGTATTGCAGGAGAAATGCTCAGTGGGATGAGCACAAGCTTCTCATGCAGGAGGCCTGGGTCCCTCAAACACTCTGGGATGTGTATTATACTGGCTGATTAATGAAACAGTGTGTCTGTTCCAGGGGTTTTTGAAAATCATTTCCCTTTCACATTTTGAATGGTGACATTGATACCATTTAGTTTCCACTTCCTTCTAAAAGCATGTAAGGATTTAATTTATTGATAGCTAAGAATGCATAAAAGCACAAAATTGCACAACAAAGACTCATGTAAATTTTTTTAAAAGGAAAATTCTGAAGATGTTCTACAGTGATCTTGTTCATTTGTTTATTTGTCTTAGGGCCACCCCGGAGAGACTGTGACTGGCACGTGGAGGGGGGTAGCGCAGAGCTGGGAGTTGAGTCTGGGCTCCCACATGCAGTACCTGTGCTCCAGCCCCTGAACCATCTCCAGGTCCCCACTGATAAGTAGTCCTGGAGTCATGGTTACGTAGGAATAATTCATGTAGCAAAGGAAAAATGGGAGCAGATAGGTATGAAAAAAATGGAGACAAAGTCGTGCAGATGGCAGTCTCCGAAGCATTTAGATCATTAGTGCTCAAAGAAGCACAAATTAAGTTAGGTGCTACTTTTAAAAACGAACATAGCTAAAACACAGGCACTCTATGTTTGTAAAGCAATATTTGTGTTGGCAGCATAGGTTTGCATTTTGCACTGGGAACTTCAGAAATGCTTGTACCCTTGCCTTCCAAACTTCACTGTAGACTTCTGAATTCTGAAAGAGCCTTGAGTACAAATAAGGCTTTGTATTACTGATGATGATGGGCCTTAACATAGGGGTTGTGGAGAGTGAGGTGAGTGTGTTAGAGCTGATGAGAAAGTTTCTGGGACTTTACCAGGACTTTTCAATTGCAGGACACTCATTTTGATGACTGTTTATACAGGTGATAGCTGCTTTTTTCTGTTTCCTGGAGCATACTAGAGCCCCAGTATTCTGGTTCTTGTCCTTGTCTGCTGTTCACCTGGCCGCCCTCTGCTTCTGCTCCTGACCAAGCCTTTCCCTCCATCACCAGGGGCCTCTATCCAGTGGGTGCATGTGGAGATGCGGTGGATGTCTGGAGCCGCTGCCTTCCTGGTACATGGCATGATGCTGCCCACTGAGCATCCCTGCTCTTGAGAACTGCACTTTTCTGTCCTGCCCCTTTGGTCTCTTTTTCCCCGAAATTGAGATTTCCAGTTTCTTCTTATTCTACAGAACACTTAGCCTTCACTCCTGTTCTGTATCTCCTAGACCCTGCCAGGGCCCTATGTCCATACTAATAGCCAGTCTGGCCTTTTCCCAAACAGAGACAGTTTCCACCTAAGACAGCTACATCCCACTGAAAATATGCTTTTAATGGCTGTGGTAAGTGGCTACGGCAGATTTCTTCCCTTCTGTGTAAGATGGATCTTTCTGAAGTGTTTTCCATGCCGGCCATTTGTCCCTGATGAGAACAATAGCACCAGCATTTGAGTGGTGACTAGCTGGACAGCCCAGCCCTGTTTCCAGAAGGTCCATCAGATCTCCCCATACACAGGCCCTGGGTTGGAGTACTTGGTTCCCACCTGGGCTAGACCTAGAAGAAGAAAGAAGAGGCTCAAGTTACCTTTGCTGATTTTCAGTGAAGGGATGAGAGTATGAGGGTTTGTGGAGGTGTGGCATGTGCCAGGCAGAGGGGGAAGCATGCACATAAGTCTAGAATGCCCTAAGCATACCTGCTGGTGGGAAATCAGTACCATCATCCCACGTGTGCAGAAAGGGCGGTGAACAACAGTCCTGGAGATACTATGAGCAGTAAGGGGTGGGAGAAGAAGACCAGGAGGTGTTTGGACCAGTCAGAAATCCTGGAGGTAAGTGGGGGTTGAGGACCTGAGGAGATGATGAGAGAACTCAGTAGCCCAGGCACTGCTGTCTTTCTGGGATTTCACTGAAGTCAGCCAGTAGAATGTTATGGGGCCGGAGCAATAGTACCGTCCTGCCCCTTTGGGTTAGGGTGTTTGCCTTGCACATGACCAACCCAGGTTTGATCCTTTTGGTCTCCCAAGCACTGCTAGGAGTAATTCCTTATTGCAGAGCCAGGAGTAACCCCTGAACATCACCAGGTATGACTCAGAAAGCAAAAAAAATGATTGTCTTTAAAAAATTTTTTTTTTATTAAGACACCATGGTTTGGGGCTAGAGCGATAGCACAGCAGGTAGGGAGTTTGCCTTGCACTCTGCCAAGCCAGGTTCAATTCCTCCGTCCCTCTCGGAGAGCCCAGCAAGCTACCGAGAGTATCCTGCCCGCACGGCAGAGCCTGGCAAGCTCCCCGTGGCGTATTCAATATGCCAAAAACAGTAACAAGTATCACAATGGAGACATTACTGGTGCCCGCTCAAGCAATTCAATGAACAATGGGAGGACAGTGCTTCAGTGCTACCATGATTTGGGCAGCAAGAGAGATAGTACAGGAGGTAGGATATGTACCTTGCATGACAACCCCGGGTTTGATCCCTAATACCCCATATGGTTTCCTGAGTCCACCAGGAGTGACCCTTGAGTGCAGAGCCAGGAGTCAACCCTGAGCATCATAAAGTGTGCCTCCCTCCCCCGTTACCCACCCCCCCAAAAAAAAAAACAACCAAAAAAGACACCATGATTTTTAAGTTATTCACAGTTGTGTTTTAGGCATACTGTGTTCCAGGAGAACAGACCAGTATCCCCAGGTTCCTTCACACCCCTCCCCACCAAAAATACTGGCATATTTTTAAGTTTGGTTGTTGTGAGTTAGATCTCCCGCTTTCAGCTTTGATGACTCTGTAGTTTGTATATATCTCTATACTCCTCTACACCATCCATGTGCCTGGCCCCCCTTCACTTCCTATCTTCTTGCTACCAGCTCAATTTCTTTTCCTCCCTGTGTTCTTGGGTGAAGGGAGGTTGAGTCATCCCTCTTTAATACCTTGCATTCCTTGTCCAGTTATTATGTATATAACAGATAAGTGGGCTGAAGTGATAGTACAGCGGGTAGGGCATTTGCCTTGCACGCAGCTGACCCAAGTTCGATTCTTTTGTCCCTCTCGGAGAGCCTGGCAAGCTACCGAGAGTATCCTGCCCACACAGCAGAGCCTGGCAAGCTCCCCGTAGCATGTTTGATATGCCAAAAACAGTAACAACAAGTCTCATAATGGATGTTACTGTGCCCACTCGAGCAAATTAATGAATAACGGGAGGATAGTGCTGTGCTACAGATAAGTGAGATCATCCTGTATTTGTCCTTCTTCTGGCTTACTTTCCTCAAACTAATTAGAGTTATTTTAAATTTTTTTTTCATTTTAAAGTTATTTGAAATGCTTTGAGTAGCAGTGTTTACTGTTGTAATGGGGATAAAGTTGGCCTTTACTTCTTTGGGCTCAGCTCCTAGCTATGGGCTGCATACCCCATATGCAGGAGTGACCATTGGAGACAGCCCCACTTAATGGGGTTCTTGTGAATGCAGCCCTCGTATGTGGGGTGAGTGTTGGTCCCCACATGTCATGGGTAGCTGTGAGACACTGGCAGTCCGGTTATCAACACTCACAGCCCTCTAGGACCATCCTATAAACTTGGTTCCCAGGACAGCTCTACATAAGCCTGGCCAGCTCCAGGTATGAAGTTGATGGTGATCTTCAAGTGTGCAGATTCTAGTAAGTGGTTATATTTGCTGTAATCATTTTAAACTTTATTGTAGAAGAAAGACAATTGTTGGAAATATGCCGAGTCTGTGTATATCATGTTCATATGTCATATCAGCATTTGTAAGTGATCAGACACGGTTTTTTCTGAATTTAAATTCTTCCTTCCCTTCTGATCCTCGTTTAGTTGTATTTCCCTCCGAGTTAAACACTGTGTTAATGTCTTGACTATCTTAGAAACATGGGTGAACAGAAGATAAAAGGTCTGGTGTGTGTGTGTGTGTGTGTGTGTGAGAGAGAGAGAGAGAGAGAGAGTGATAATTATATTCTCTCTAGATTGTATCCTGGTTTACCACTATGAATCTGAGTGATTCAAAACATATTTTATAAAGTAACATTAGCTTATAACATTTTATAAGTTTCAGGTACAAAGCATTATATTTCAGCATCTGTAGACACTACATTAGACTTGTTGCCAGTGGTCAAGTACAGTGAGTGAAAAAAGTGCTCCCATCTCTGTGCTCAACCCACTTTGGCCACCAGCACTTATGGAAATGACTGGCCTACATTGGGTCAGTCCTAACCTTGGCTCAGTTGTTCCAAGTCCATGACCTTTCCCTCACAGAAAGGATTTCAGGAGGAGGCAAAATGGTGAACCAAGATGGTTTTCATTAAAACTTATTTAGAAAGATGTCAGGGGAGGGGCCAGAGTGCTGGTACAGCAGGTAGGTTATTTGCCTTACATGCAGATGACCTGGTTTCAATCCTCAGCATGCCTTATGCTCCCCCGAGCACCATCAGGAGTGACTCCTGGGCATCACCTAATGTGCCCTCCACCAAAAAAAAAAAGGTGAGGGGAAAGAGGAAAGAGAGGGTAATGTAATTCAGAGAGAACATAGGCTTCTCCAGAGTGGAAATAGGCAAGAAAGAACACTTAGGGACTAGCACGTAAAAACAAGGACTTGAAAAGCAAACCAGGTCTGGCTTTTAAAGAAAACAGCCTTTCAGTGTCTATACTGTTGTAGGGATATGGGTTCAAACAGGGAGTCACTAGAATTATGTGGCTCTGCCCCTTTTTGAATCAACTAAAACAGTCCATCATATAGTTCTAAACGAGGCAAGAGAATGGTCAGTGTGAATGTGGTAAATGAGCAACTGACCTTGATGGGAAAGGAATCAAAGATGTTGGCCTTTCCTGGAAAATCAGTTCTTAATGAAGACTGTTTGTCTCTGGTGTTTTGAGTCCTTTCAGCCAGCATTTTGTTCTTATCC